GGAGGTTTGGGAAGTGGGAGAAGCTCATCTTTTTTCCTTTCCTTTTTTGTCGGGGGAGGTTAGTATCTCACTAAGTAGTTCAGTCTATCTGTGAGCTGGAGACCCTCCATCCTGGGTTTCTTGAGTGCCTAGGTTCAGGTGTGTGCCACCATGCCTGGTCTACAAAGTTCATTCTCAGTGAAGTTGGGGTATTAGGCATTAGATGAGGAATAGAAAGAGGTGGGGGAGTCTTGTGGAGGGCGCAGGGGAAAGAAAACTGAAGCTGAAGGTCCCGCATGGAGGCTGAGGAATAGGGGCTTCCTTGGGAATGGCCCTGGGTCTGTGAAATGGATTGAGAAGGGTAGCATTGAGCTAATTTCGGCAGAGCTCATTCTGAAGAGCAACGTGGAGGACTAAAGGAGCATTGCCAGGACGTAGTCACCGACGGTTGGGGATTGGAGGTAATGAACTACTACCTGCAGTGAGCATTTGGGGAGTGGCCTGTATAGGAGGGGCAGGTAGGTCTTTACTGGCCAGCCTCATTCTTGAACTGACCTAACAGCTGGGCTGAACCTGTTAAGGCTTTCCAAGGCCCAGGAACAGGAGCATATCAGGCACATAGGGGCTTTAGCATTTCGTGTCCTGGAAGAACAGATCAAGAATTCCCAGACCTTTCTCCAGGGTCTGAAACTCTCCCAAGGAGACACACAACCTCCCTTTGAATGCAGAGAATGGTTTCTCTTGTTCTGCATGTTTGTTGAAAGAGATTGGTTCGTGGTTATGCATTTTGCACATTTTGTGTCTCTGGGAGGGAGCTGGTGGTTTTCTGGAAGATGGGTGGGAAGAGGAAAGAGATCACTTGGTAATTAGCTAAGAGTCATTAGCACGGTAGGAAGTGTCTTCTCTGGGGAGATGCTGTGGCCAAATCCCCCAGACTGTATGAATTTGAGAAAGGCAAGATTTATGGAACTACAGCCTGAAGCAGCAGTGGCCCTAGCTCCCAGCCCAATCCTCAGCCTCCAACCCCAGCCCCCAGTCCCCAACCTCCAACCCCAGTCCCCAGTCCCCAACCTCCAAACCCCAGACCTGAGCCTCCAACCTCCATCCCAGCCCCCAGTCCCCAACCTCCAACCCCAGCCCACAATCCCCAGCCCTCTCGCCTAACTCTCTGGCTTATGAGTGCTTCTGGCAGCTTCTGTGATCAAAGCAAACTTAAGCAGAGACAAAGTGGTTGGGCCCAGGGGCCCTGGAAAGTTCCAGGCCAAGTGGGGTCTCATTTAGGTAACGCAGAGCCAGCTGCACATTTGGTTAATGGCCCACGTCCTGGGAGCCCGCTAATCAGGAAACCGGGTTTCACAGCTTATATAATTCCTCTGACGCTGGTGGTGGCTCTGAGGGGAGAGAAAGCTAGTCTAGGCTGAGCAGGCAAGGCCAGCCTGCTGCTGTTGCTGCCCCCCTCATCCCCACCCCATATACATCATTTATAGTGTGGATAGTAGCCCCACCATGGTAACAGTTCTGTAATCCTAGCATACTGGTGGTGTGGCTGAGACAGGAAGATTGGAATTCCAGGCCAGCCTGGGCAACATGAGACTCTCTCTGAAAAAAACAAGGTGTCGATAGGGGTTGGAGGCAGACCAGGTAGGCTAGGTGGCAGGAATAATGAAGGCATTGTACATATCTGTAATAAATCAAAGAACAAAGCTGATAGAGAGGAAACAAGATGGCAGCAGCCAAAAGCAGACTCATGACCTCAGTGTCCTCATCAGTCTCATGGGATACCTGGTTCCAGCATCACTGTAGACGAACGATGTCTGCAGGAAACACGGCCAGCCTCAACACCCCTTGCTAAGAGTCCCTTCTCTGCTCTCTTCCCAACCACCCTCAGCCTCTCTTCCCCAAAGACCCTCCCCTCACCACCTGAGCCCTCCCAAGAGGCCACAGCCTAGAGATTACAAGAGGCAGAGAGGCAGGGTAATGGGAAAGAGAAGTCCTCATCATGGCCAAGTGATGGAGCCCCCTTAGTCTCCACCTTCGTATCTGTGAAGGGGACCTGTTTTGCATAGGTGGAAGGCACAGCTGTTTCAGGTGTGGAAAGCATCTGCACTCCTAGGAATAGCCTGCTGCATGTACACAGCAGTAGCCATGCTCCTGGCTGGCCGTGAGATCTCTGGGCTTGTCTCTAATCTCCTTCCTAACCCTCCCTTCTCCAAATCTATTAGCATCCTATGTACCGTTATCTCAAATTCATGAGCCTCCTGGATTCCCCCACTTTCTACATCCCAGCTTCTCCAACAGACTTTCAGGCCCTTTGGCAACTTCTCCATCAGATAATCTTGCTTATGAAAATCCTGCCGCAGTTCAAAGCCGTTCTTGCTTTGTGGTCAGGAGAGCACCAAATGGGATGAGCAGCTCATAAAGGGTCTAGGTGTGGAACTTCTGTGGCCTGGGGTGAGGACCCAGAGATGGTGAACCAGAACGGTCTCCCTTTGCTGGTAGGTGCATAAGAAATGCCAGGGCATTGCTTATGATAGTCAGGGATGTGACCAGTGCTCCAAAGAGCCCTTGGTTTGGGCTTCACTGTTCCCAGTTTTGAATTATTTTATCTCCAATTTTGTGGTTTGTGAGTGAAGTCTGCGGGTCCTGCGCCCCAGGCTGAGGCATGGTTGCATGTGACCCTGTGCTGCAGCACCTCGAGACCTCCCGAGATGGGTGCTTGGCCTTCCTCAGTCCCATCTGGCTGTCTTGTCCCACCTTTCTCCTCCCTCCAACAGGAACCTGGGCTCAAACAGGGTAAGGGACAGGTGCTTCAATCTGCTATGTCTCCCTAGGCTGGCAGTGTCACAGTGTATTCTGAGTGTAACTCGGAGGGATCAAACTATTACCCATCCTATCCAGGAAGCAAGTGTTCCCTTCCTAGAGGGTGAGGAGAGCTCACCCTAGGTGGGGACAAGAGGTACGCGGGAGGCCAGGTGTATCACCCCACTTCCCAGCTGTCCATTATGCACCGTGGCTGGCAGAGGTTGACAGTGGAGGACTTGGGAGATGGTGGGCTCCCAGTGTGTGTATTCTATGTCAGGGAGTGGGGGTTCCAGGCCACTGAGAGTCACTGCCATTCTTACAAGGAACCCTGAGTACAAAGGAGCATATACTAGTATTCGGCAGACCCAGGTTGCGAGTCTTCAGAACAAAGTCGGCACCTTTGCTGCTCTTTTTGCTATCTTGGCAGAGACATTGCTGTTCTTTTGACTAGAACCCAGCTAATTATGTAGCTGTTTCTGGGTCCAGTCGAAGCGGCAAGAGCTTTGGGAGCCATTGTAAGTCATTGCTGCACCAGAGCTTGGCTTTCTTGCTTATTATATTCATGTAAATGGGCTTCCTGCCCAGGGTCACCCACCCCCGCATCCTGCCTCTCCTGGACTTGGCATGCCTTGAGCATGGTGTTTGCTGACCGTTTGTAACACCCTGCCTTTTTCTCGGAAGCTCAAATCATGGCTCTGCTGCAGGCTTCCCCGCTGCCCCCGTCCCCCATCCATCACGGCTGACTGCATTCTCAGCACCACGCTCCATGCAGAGGTCTTCTTGTCTTGTACGCACTTTGCTCTTTGTCTCAGTATTGCCCACAGCACTTGGCACCGTAAGTGGGAAACAGAGAATGTGTGACCTCATTTCTGTGTTAGGGAAAGTGACTTTGTCCAGATGCACATATGCTCTGTGGCTCAGATGATACCTAAGAGCGACACCTGTCATTGCTATCTGATGCTGGGTCTTCCATGGTGCCCGTCTGCATCCAGGTTATTCTCATCCCTGGAACACAGTTTGTGGCCACCCCATCATGCTGGGTGGGGGCCACTCCATGAAGGCCCCACCCTCTCTTTCCCAACTGGACTCTTTTTGGACACAGACTGTCCTGCTGCTGGGCCTGGGAAGTGCTCTGAGCCATGCACACATTAGCCGTTGGCTCTGTTCATCTGGCTCCACCTTGTGTTGTGATGAGGGCAAAAGATGACGTCTTGAGTCAGTTGTCACATGTAAATCAGTAAATATAACAATAAGGGCAAACTGGGCTTGGTGCTGTACACTTTTGATCTCATCATGAGGGAAGAGAGGGAGGATAAGAGTTGACAGATCTCTGAGTTTGAGGCCAACCTGGACCGCAGAGTTCCAGGCCAGATAGGACTGTCGATCTACAGTGAGACCCTGTCTCAGAAACAAACAAGAGCAACAAAAAGGCAGTCCTGGTGAAGGAAGCCTTAGCTTCCTGCTGTGTTCTAAGAGCTCTAATTACTCACTGCGCAAGGCCATTCTGAGCAAGGTACCAGCAGGACCTTCCATTGTAGAAAGGAGTCACAGTGGGCCCTGGAGAACTGGCTGGGAAGACAGGGATTTCCTGGATTACAGTGCCCTGGAGTCCTGAGGAAAGGGACAGGGCAGCCTCACATGGTCTAGGAGATCCTCGAGGTGATGTCCTGAAGTGCCCTGAGCTCTTCCGTAGAGAACCAGGGTTTTTTTTCAGACATTTTCCCCTCCCCCCAGCAACTCAGAGTTGTTTAGGAAGTCCTTAGCCATGGAGAATGTGAGGTGTCTGGGAAGTCTCCACAGAAGCCAGAGGCAGCAGGATGCACAAATCAAAAACAGGACAGAGGTCTGGGCTTGGGAGAGGTTTAACTACTGCTGCTTGAACACAGTACCCAGCTCAGACCCTCATAGGACAGGGTGATGGTGGGGAGGGGGGGAAGCATCTGTCAGCGACTGCTTCATAAAGTAGGGGAAGGGAGGAGCCAGCAAAGATAACCCTGGGAAGGCTAAGGTCAAGGGCATCACCAAGGAGCCAAACACACTCAACAAGATGTCTCGTGGGGGTTCAGTGCTGGGTCACACACAAAGGCCAAGGGCTGACTCTGATGTAGGTGGGGTACAGGGTGGGTGATGCCTCTGCCACCCCGGCTCTGGAGGGCAACCGTCAGCAGTTCCTCTGGGGAGTGCAGCATTGGTGTCTCATGTCCTTCTTGTTTCCACAGGAGAAGGAGCCACAGCGTGTACGTCCAGCATCTTGCAGGAGAAACAGCGTGAGTTATGCCTGGTCCCCCAGAGCCTTTCCTTCCATTAGAAAAGGGATGCCCCTGGGCCTGGTCCCCTCTCGGGCTGAAAGCTCCAAGGGTAGAAGGACCTCTCCCATTTGGCTCCTGGGCAAGAGTAGAGAGCCTAGAGCCACTTGGTCTGGGTTTAGGCAGCTCTTCTGAGACCCTGGGGTTTCTAAACCATTCATGCTGGGCAGTTCTTGTGTCAGAACTAGAGCTCGGACATGAGGCTGATGACCCTGATAGGGGATCACAGAAAGTTTGGTGGCTGTCCTATTCTTGGGGATGGAGAGCGGGAGGGACTGAGGAGGCAGCCTTCTTGAGCCTCGGTGGCATCAACATTGGATGCCAACTTCCAACAGCCGTGGTTGGTCCTGAGGTGAGCAAGGTCAGAGTGCATGAGGTTGTTCAAGGCTGGGCTCCAGAGGATGGTCCTTTCTAAACACATTCTGCTTTCTAGATACTGTCATTGTGTATGTGAGTGTGGGAACATGTGAGGTCAGAGGCCATCTTTCTGGACTTGGTTCTCTACTTCCGTCATGGGTTCTGGGGATCAAACTCAGGTTCAGGCTGCACAGCAAGTGCTTCTATCAGTGAGTTATCCCGCTGGCCCTGGACATGCTGCTCCTTCAAACCCCTCCATAGAATGGCAAACTCTTCAGTCAGGACGCCTGGGACTGAGTTCTGGGGTTTCCTGGCCGTGTGTGTGTGTGTGTGTGTGTGTGTGTGCGTGTGTGTGTGACAACAGCCTGTCTTGATTCTTGATTCTTTCTGCCTGTTTTCTTAGGAAGATGGCTATGGGATTGGGTGTGCTAAGGTCACACCAGCACACTGGTCACATGTCCCACTGACATACCAGGTGGCTTGGTAGGCAGCACCCGTGCCAGATCTTGTCTTCATTATAGGGCAATATTGACTTTCACATGAGGCTGGGTTTGGGGTGAGGGCTCAGAACTCCCCTCATTTTCCTGCCTGCTGTTCTGCTTGCGGCTATAGCTTTAGGGAGGTTCAATCCATATTGCTTCCTAACTTTCCAGGCCCCAGCTTGAGGCCTTCCTTTAAGCCCTCCCCTCCTCAGCTGATCTTCTGTGGAGAGTGTGTCAATATCAGCATCCATAATTCACGGTCCAGCCCAAACGGCTACACTGGCCTCCAGCACAGCTTCCCTGGTCCCTGGTGTCGCAGTGCACAAAGATAAGGACAGAGGGCTGGTGGTCATGCGCCTCTGTCAGGAGCGGCGGCCCGCAGGCTCCAACCTCCAGCATAAGGGCAAAGAGAAAGGACAGGGTGCCAGGAAAGGGGGCAGTTAAAATTTTGCCTTATTTCATAGAGGTGACAATGGTGACACAGAGTCTAAAGCCACCAATGGAAAGAAATGATTACAGAATTTGCAAGAGCTGAGCCACTACAATAGGAGAGAGGGAAGCCCTGACCCTGGCTGTCGCTTGTGTGCATGTGTTGGGTGGGCACTGGCTCTGGCCCTGGCCCTGGCAGCAGTTTGTATGTTGGGCAGGTGGGTGAATGTTCTTTGGAGGAGAAGGGCAGGGGAACAGCTTGGGACTCCTGGTTTGAATAATGACTGGGGATTTTAACTAGGCTGGTCTCTAGTTACCTGGCACCTGGCCCTGATTGCCTCAGGGCAGAGGAAGAAGACAGGAGTGGTGGGTGAGTGTTAGCTACAATAGGCTGGGTGTGGATTGGGGTGTGGTTGGCTGGTTTTGAAAGGCTGTATTCATGGGCAAGTTTGTTTCTGTCAGAATTAGCCCATGTAGGATTACCGGTGTCTCATTTGACCAGGAAGTCCCCAACATGTTGAACCATCAAGAAGTAAAAAAAAAAAAAAAAAACCCAATATAAATACGCGAGGAAGGAAAAGCCCAGATTATCTATGCCGGGCTTCCTTCTTGTTCATTTCATATTTATTTTGGAGACAGAGTCTCACTATATAGCCCAAGCTGGCCTCAGACTTTTGGCAGTCTTCCTGCCTCAGCCTCTCAAGTGCGGGGAGTTCAGTCCTGAACCATCGTGACTTGCTGCCGCTGTCCCTGTAGTAGTGACTCGGAGGTGAAAGCGAGCCACCTACAACAGGCTTTGTCACCAGGAGGCCAGTCACAGCTCCCTTCCACATGTTCCCGCATACACAATTGAATTGACAGGATGCCTCCATCTCCTGTGACTCCCTGGGGAAAAAAATTGCATTTCGGTAGTAGCAAAGTCCCTTTTATTTCATGATTATAGATTTTGGTCAAAATTATATTGCTGAGAGCTGTCATTGTCTCCTGCTCCTTGAGGATATTTTTATGAGGGAAAGAATAGCAGCTGATGTGCAAAAGAATTTTAGAGCCGTCACATCTTTGTCTTGAAGGCTTCCCTGGCTGGCACTACCCAAATCTAAGCCCAGTGTGCTCGGCTGGGAGGAAGCTTACACTATAACGGGCTTTCCTGCGAAGGCGAAAGTCTTTAGCTGAGACCAGCGTTTTCCACATAACTCTACAGTTATGTCCTGCCTACAATTTCAGGCATTAAAATCATTTTTTCTTTTATGAAGTGATGGTGGTAATTGATGGTGATGTGTTTGTTTAGTTCAAATCTGAAATAGGCAAAATAAAAGTTTGTGACCTGCATTTGGAAAGGTTGTATCAGGGTTTATGTTGGGAATGTGCTTTTCCCCTGGCAGTGCACATCTGTACATTTTACCTCAAGTGACTTTTCCCACTGCATATTTGAACACTCTGAAAATAAGATAGCCCTCGGGGCGAGGAGTCAGATTCCCTGCCACCTGGGACATCACGCTGTGATGGCTGGTGTTTAAAGCTCTATCCAGTTACTGTAACTCTTTGGGAAAGTGACTTAGCATCTCTGAGCCTCATTATATGTGGGAAGATGGCTGAACTCTTTGCTTTCCAGGTCAGCCGAGGGTATCAGGGGCTGTGGAGCAGATGCACAGGAAGGGTCTTTACCATCCTCAATTATACCTTGGATTTCCATAAGCCCTCACAGCTGGAACTCCTGGGCCGTATGTGAAGGTGTATCTTGTGGAGCTCATCCTATGGCTACCTGGCTTTTCCGTGATGTAAATAGCGTTTCTCCTTTATTACGGTTCAGATATGAATTACCACCCCCCTGAACGTTGGTATTCGGCTGGAGGGTCCAGTCACTGAGAAGTGATGGGTTTATAATTTGATGTTGTTACTGGGAGATGAAAGAAATTACTGGAGTCATAGTCTTGGAGGTTATATCTTGTCCCTAGCTCCTTACCCTGCCCCTCCCTCTGTTTCCTGGCCACCTTGAGGTGAACAGTTTTGCATCTTCATGTCTTTCTGCCCTGATGGTCTGCCTCAGTACATCACAGACATACCTGAGTCTCAGTAAACCTTGGAGCCTTTCCAGTGTTTCTCTGTGACATTTGATCAATACTGATAAAAAGCTAAGTAACTGGTGGGAGGTTGCCAGGACCTCTGGTTCGCAGCTCTGGGACTTGTGTGCTCCTTGGACTCCCTGCTCCTTGGTAGCTTTCTCACAGTCCTGTGTTCATTTGCATTTGGACAGACGGCCTGGAAGTCCATGACCACTTGTGTTATTTAGATCCAGGTGGGGTGGGACGAAACGGGGGAGCGCTTGGGTGTGGGGACGGTGTCGGGGCTTGGCCTGGGGAGCAGGGGGCCTGGGCCATTCCTCCCAGCTTGCCTTGTAGTCATGGCCCGGACTGGGGCCCAGTCCTCTGTTCTGTTGGTTGATGGATGGAGTCCCTCTGGGTCTGTTATTCTAGGTGTCTCTGCTGCTGCCTCTTTGTCTCCTGGTTTCCTTTGTCCATGTCTCTTTGCATTTCTGCCTGTCACTGCTCACTGATCACAGGGACATTTTCAGATGCTTCCCTTGTGCCTGAGTGAGCCCTCCTGTGGATGTGGGTCCCGAGAGACTGAAGCTCACTGCTCTGTTCTTCCCTTCAGAGAGAAAAGCCTCATTCTCCACAAATCTGAATTTCAAACCTGGGCTCTTTCTAGACAGCGCGCCCCCACCATCTTCACCACCACCTTGACAAATGAGCCCCCAGGACAGCACAATGCCTCCAGCAGAAAGAATTCAGGCTCACCTCCCTTTCTTGACCACCATCCCTAATTTATAGGAATCCCAAGCTTCTCTTGCTAACCTGCCCTGGCTTCCTACATTGACCTCCATGCCTCCAATGTCCGCCATTCTTGTCCTTACGAGTGGCAGGGAGGTCTTTGCAGGAAATCTGGACTTTCTAGGCCTGCTTGCCTCACTCACTCACTGCCCAGCGCTCCATCAGTGTCTCCACCCACCTTCCCCTTCCATCAGTGTTTCCTTGTCGTTTGGATGTCAATTGTCTGTGTCCTTTCTAGAAACCATCTGTGCACACACTTCTTGTAGGATAGTGGGGAGGTCTGAGATCCCGCTCACCCCAGCATCCTAGTGGAGGGACAGCAGATGGCAGGAAAGACATGGGTCCCAGGGGACTCCCTCATTTCCCGCTTCAGGACTGCAGACACTGGATGGCATGCTCTATGGAGGGAGCTGTTCTGCCCTTGTGAGCTTCCTGCATTGTCTACGGGATGGAAGTCTGCTGCCTCTCCTCACAGGGGACATGAGACCTATTCCCCACAGGCCTCCCCTGTCACTCTGGCTCAGCAGGTGCTAGGTGTGTTGGGAATGGCTCAGGATTTCCCCTCTGATACCCATTAGACCTGGAGCTTGGGAGGACTGAAACCATGATTTCGGGATCACAATGTGAAGACAAAGATGGCCAGGAGCAGATGGCTCCTAAGCAAGGCAGTCATTTTGCTCTCTCACCAACCGCAGAACTTGACCATGCCTGACCAATGTGGATCTCCTGTCCTGAAGTGGTTTTCTTCCCAGTTGCCCCAGGAACCTGGGGACGTGCTCTGTCCATTCTGTCACATAGGTGCTTTCTGAAGGACCAACTTCATTACCACTCGTCATCAGATTGTGCATAGGTCAGGGACATG